TTTCAATGGTTTTTTTCCCAAATAAAAAAAAAGTATTTTTTTTGTTTTTATTTCTTTTAAAGTGTTTTTCTATACAAAATCTCTTTAGCTTTTAATTCTTTAAAAAATTAAATTATTTATAATTTCAATAGGTTTTTCAAATGTTTTTTCCTAAATAAAAAAAATTGTTTTTGTTTTTATTAGTTTTAAAGTATTTATAAATTGCTCTCAGAACATAATAGGTTTTCCAATTGTTTTTTTCCTTGATAAAAAAAAGTTTTTTGTTTTTATTTCTTTTAAAGTGTTATTTTTTCTATATTTTTTTAATTTTTATGTTTTTCTTCTATATTAGCTTTTCATTTTCTTTTTAAGAATTAAATTATTTATTATTTTAATAGGTTTTTCAATGGTTTTTTTCCCAAATAAAAAAAAGTATTTTTTTTGTTTTTATTTCTTTTAAAGTGTTTTTCTATACAAAATCTCTTTAGCTTTTAATTCTTTAAAAAATTAAATTATTTATAATTTCAATAGGTTTTTCAAATGTTTTTTCCTAAATAAAAAAAATTGTTTTTGTTTTTATTAGTTTTAAAGTATTTATAAATTGCTCTCAGAACATAATAGGTTTTTTAAATGTTTTTTTCCTATAAAAAAAATTTTTTGTTATGTTTTTATAAACGTTTTATATTATTTTTTACTTTTATATGTTACATGAAAAAAGTATTACATAATTTTATAATCATTCACATATGTAAATAAAAAAAAATGAAGAAATAAAATAAGCATTATTATAAATTAATGATATCTTTATAGTGTTTATTGAATTAATTAAGAGAATGGAAATGTAGTATTTCAATATAACATAAACATTTAAATTAATTTTTAAGTTATTTATAATGTTTGATTTATTCTTAAATTTATTTTTGCATAATAAGATTAGTATTTGATTATTGATTTATTGAGGTAAGTGGAATTAATCTTCTTTTTTTACTTTTTCCATTTATTTATTCCATTGTTATCTTTAATTATGATAGTAAAACAATAAGAAATTCTTCTTTCAAATTAAATTTCGCGCGTTACCGACTGCACATTTGAACCGTAGGAGCTTCACTCAGCTGCCGCTCACACAAGGTGATGAGAGCGCGTGGTGGGGCGAGCGCGTGGTGGGAGTATGACACTTTATGTCTATGAGCTCAGCGGCAGTAGCTCATTCGCAGTGACGGAGCGACTCAGAGTGGTCGACATGGAGAATTTCTGCAACTGCTACAACTGCTTCGTTAAGAAGGTGTCAATACACAATGTAAGTATCAATGATATATATATATAATATAGTAAAATGTAATATAATGTTTAATATTTTTTTCAGTTGCAGAATGAAGGGAACGAGGTGCCATTCCCGACAACACCCCCGGGATCTCCACCCAGGGAGCAGTATCCGTGTCAGTTTCCGGATACATCACCACCCTGGGTGGAGCTGGAGTCACCATCATCTCCAGAGTCTCCAAGAAGAATGGAGGCCAGGGTGCTGACACCTCCAGCGGTAGAGGTCAAGGTGCTGACACCTCCAGGGGTAGAGGTCAGGGCGCCGACACCCCCACCACCGAGGCCACCGACACCACCTCCCGGCCCAGAGAGGAGGCGGCGACAAAGGCGTCGTCACCGTCAAGCCGCCATTAATATTAATGTCTTTATTAATTTTTAATTTTTTAATAAACGTTTGTATTTTGTATATCGGTATATATTTATTTTACGCATGCGAAATGGGTGGGTGTAAATGTAAGAGTGGGGATGTGTAAAAAGTAGGAGTGGGGGTAAAAGTTCTAGTGCGCATGCGCGAAAGGTAAGAGTGGGGATTCTGGGGTATATATTGAGAATCTCTTATCAGTTTCAGTCAGTGGCTGTTCTGTTCACAGGTTCAGCAGTAGCAGCAGCAGTCTCCTTGGCTATTACTAACTGTCTTTTCACATTTTGAATATATTTACTGTCTTTTTTTGTTATATTTACCGTATTTATTACATTTACATTGTTTTGATCTTTAGGTTAAATACTTTAGTTTGTAAGTGTGTTCTTTCGTTTTGTTAGTTTGTAAGTGTGTTCTTTTGGGTTTTTTTAGCTTGTAAGTGTATTCTTTTGGATTTTTTAGCTTGTAAGTGTATTCTTTTGTTTTCTTAGCTTGTAAGTGTGATTTCAGGTTCAGACATGAAGCGGAAGGCCACAACCACCGATGGACCACGTAAGTTCCCAAACTACACGACCATCCTTGATGAGAGTGACTTAACTGTTACTCTCATCAAGGAAGCACTAGAACTGATTCCACTGATCGATAACGTAAACGTAAGACGTTCTTTTGTAGATCGATGGATTGTAGAATGCTCACAACATGAAAACTTGTTGTCTAGCATCCTAAAATCGATGTATTTTACACATCAAAAGCAGAGATGTGTGAGCATTCTGCAATCCATCATTAGATTTCGCGCGTTGTTCGAATCTCACATTGTAGATGGCGCTGGAATCGGTGATACAGACATTAATAAACGCGTTCGCTGGGAAGAGTGTGAGAGTGCATTTGCGTGTAGACTGTACACTAATGCAGTCCTAAACCTAGTCCACATTGATGTTAGCGCGTTTTTGGACGATGCGTCCACGCTTTTTCAAGATCACATAAAAGGTGCCTTAAATAAGAATGGACCCATTTTAGTGTATGGTGTTCTCATCGCCAACTTTAAGAGGGTTGAGAATGGTGAGGAGGTTGTTAAGCCTATCCCTTTCGGATGCAAGGCTAACAGCATCTTCCCCACCTCGGTTTTAGATGATTGGTTCGATGAGAACATAAAGCAACCAATACTGCGCAGTGTCGAAGAGTTTTATGAAAAGGGTTCAAATTGGAGCCTGCAGTCGATTATAAGGCTCGAAATCAATGTTAATAAGTATAATCCGATGCGTGCAAGCTCTTATATTCGTTTACCTGCGCAAATTAAAAACAAGAATGCATGCATTAATGTTGAAAACAAAGACAAACAATGTTTTAAATGGGTAGTATTGTCAGCTTTGCATCCAAATGTATCACATCCTGAACGAGTTTCCAGTTTGAAAAGTTTTGAAGATGAGTTAAATTTTGAGGGAATGGAATTCCCAGTAACGTTAAAAAATGTCCCAAAATTTGAAAAGCAGAATAATATTTCGATTAATGTTTACGGTTTATTAAAAAGTTATGGTAACTTTTCAGTGCATCCTCTTCACCTCACTGCGGAAAAAAGGGATAAACATGTAAATCTCTTGTACGTTGCGGATACGTATGCGGATGAGAGTGTTGAAGAGAATGTAATATGTGATGGCGGTGATTTTTTGAATTTCCATTATGTATGGATAAAAGACTTATCACGCCTTGTATCGAAACAATTGTCTGCTAAAAATGGTAAAAAACATATATGTGACAGATGCTTACATTATTTTTCTTCCGTAGATAGACTGAATGAACATCTCGAAAATTGTAAAAAAATGAATGAGTGTAAAATTAAATTACCAAAGCCTGATAAGAGTTTAATCACATTTAAAAATTATAAAAATAAAGAAAAGGTACCATATGTAATTTACGCCGACTGTGAAAGTCTACTTCTTCCCGCCGATGAAGATGTAGATAATTTAAGTAAGACTGAAGTGTTCCAGCGACATAAATTGTTAAGCATAGGCTATTTTATAAAATGTAGTTACGACGAATCATTATGTAAATATGTACCTTGTCCGAAGCATGAATCCGACCCTGCCAAATGGTTTTCTGAGGAATTAAGGCAATTATCTGAAAAAATTGATAATGTCTTTAAAAATCCATTACCAATGACTGCATTAACTCCTCAAGAAATCAGCGATTTTAAGCGAGCGACAATATGCCATATTTGTCATCAGAAAATAGCGGCAAGCGATAAAAAAGTCCGAGATCATTGTCATCTTACTGGCAAGTATAGGGGTGCTGCCCATGAATCATGCAATCTGAATTATCAAGATTGTCAAACGATCCCTGTAGTTTTCCATAACCTAAGTGGCTATGACGCCCATTTTATAATTCACGCAATTTCTACGAGCTTTGATGGGAAAATTGACCTCCTACCCATTAACAAGGAGAAGTATATCGCCTTCACAAAACATGTTAAGGGGAGTGAGGTCAAGTTTCGATTCATTGACTCTTTCAGATTCATGGCATCATCCCTAGAAAAACTCGCATCCTACTTGGATGAGTATAAAATTGTAAACGCCGTTTTTGCCAGTACGGTGACTGATCCGGATAAAATTAAGTTATTAACGCGAAAGGGTGTTTTCCCCTATGAGTACTTTGACTCAAAAAGTAAGCTTGATGAGACAGAATTGCCCCCGAAAGAGAAATTTTACAGTACTCTTTATGATGCCGGTATTTCTGATGAAGATTATGAGCATGCGCAGAAAGTTTGGTCCGATTTCGATTGTCAAAATCTCTACGACTATGTCCACTTGTACATGAAAACAGATGTATTATTACTTGCTGATGTCTTTGAAAACTTCCGCGAACAATGTGTAATTGCGTACAAGTTAGATCCTGCACACTATTATACGACCCCCGGTTTAACTTGGGATGCTATGCTCAAGTACACGAGTATAGGATTACAACTTATAACCGATATTGATATGATGATGTTTGTTGAGTCGGGTATTCGAGGCGGCATTAGTCAATGTTGCAACCGCTATGCAAAAGCGAATAATCCATATATGGAGAATTTCAACAAAAACGAAGATACAAGCTATCTCATGTACTTCGATGCCAACAATTTGTATGGCTGGGCAATGGCTCAATCGCTCCCTTATGGCGGTTTCAAATGGGTTGAAAATGTTGACGACTCTTTTAATTTTCATGTACCTGACGATTCCCCTGTTGGGTACATCCTAGAAGTTGATTTGGAGTATCCGAAATTCATGATACTCATAAAGACATGCCATTCTGCGCTGAAAATAAGAAACCTCCATTGTCAAAACAGGAGAAATTGTTAACCACTCTCATGCCTAAAGAAAAATATGTTATTCATTATCGTACGCTCAAACAAGTTGTGGCAAACGATATTAAAATTGTGAAAATCCACCGTGTCTTGCAGTTTAAGCAATCAACCTGGCTTAAACCGTACATCGACTATAACACAATGATGCGAACCAATGCTAAAAATGAGTTCGAAAAGAATTTGTTTAAGCTTATGAACAATGCGGTGTACGGCAAGACGATGGAAAATGTCCGCAAACATGTTGACATTAAACTCGTCACAAAATGGTTTGGCCGCTATGGAGCTGAAGCTCTAATCTCCCGCCCAAATTTCAAAAGTCGAGCAATTTTCGACGAAGATCTGGTTGCTATTGAATTGCGCAAAGTCGAGGTACTACTCAACAAACCAATCTATGTAGGGTTAAGTGTGCTTGATATATCTAAGACGCTAATTTACGATTTCCATTATGGTCACATGTTGAAAAAATACGGCGATGCTTGTAAACTGCTGTATACCGATACAGACAGTCTTATCTATGAAATCAAGTGTGAAGATATTTACAAAGACATGAAAAAAGATATTGACAAGTTTGATACATCTGATTATCCCGCGAATAACGTCTATGATATTCCGCAAGTCAACAAAAAAGTCCTCGGCCTCATGAAAGATGAGTGCAACGGCAGAATTGTAACTGAATTTGTTGGCTTGCGGAGTAAGATGTACAGTGTACGCGTTGAAGATAAAGATTTTATTAAAAAAGCTAAAGGTGTTAAAGCCGGCGTTGTTAAAAAGACAATTCAATTTGATGATTATGTAAAATGTCTAAGAGATTTTGATATTCAAACTCGCACACAGTATAATATAAGATCGCGGCTACATAATGTTGAAACTGTTAAACAGTTGAAAGTAGCCTTATCTCCACAAGATGACAAGCGGTATTTGTTACCGGGGAGTACCGATACTCTACCGTGGGGTCACTATGCGATCCCAAATCTCGACGATTTGTAAATAGTTGATAAGTTCGAGAAAAAAATGTCTGGAAATGTAAAGGCTGTGATAAAAGAAATAAATAGAACAATTGTATTTTATTTTCATGTGTTTTTTATTTAAAAATTCCTTACATATATACATTATAACATTGATTTAACATTGATTTAACATTGATTTAACATTGATTCAACATTGATTTAACATTGATTTAACATTGATTTAACATTGATTTAACATTGATTCAACATTGATTTAACATTGATTCAACATTGATTTAACATTGATTCAACATTGATTCAACATTGATTCAACATTGATTCAACATTGATTTAACATTGATTTAACATTGATTCAACATTGATTTAACATTGATTTAACATTGATTTAACATTGATTCAACATTGATTCAACATTGATTCAACATTGATTCAACATTGATTCAACATTGATTTAACATTGATTCAACATTGATTCAACATTGATTCAACATTGATTTAACATTGATTTAACATTGATTTAACATTAACTATAAATTATACATTTGCTTTGTCTTCCCAAGTGTTGTGAGAGTTATCGAAACCAAGCCACTTGACAAGAACTTTGTTTCCACGTGTCCTGAGAATTTTCTCAACAAGATAAATGTCTGAATATTTCACTTTTAGAAGCTCCTCTTCATAGAATCCTCCACTGATGGGTTGATCTTGGTAATCCTTGAGTTTGTAAGTCACAGGTTGAGTTGATTCCACTTTATCAATTGTAAATATTTCAGTAGTCCAATTAGGAGTATAACCTTTTTCGAAAATATTTTTATATTTGCTAACTCGCACTTTGTCACCAATTTTAAATTTAGATCGTCTTAACGGAATTTTTCTGAGCTTCGAGATTCGATCTTTTAAAATATCAACATGTTGTGCAGTAACATCTTTAGGCTTCATTCCAATTGTTCTATGTTTTGTGTCATTATAAGTAGAAATGAGGTTAGGTAATATATCATACCACTTGTAATTTCCTCGTAAACTGAATTGCATCCACATTTTCCTTTTAAGTGTTCTATTAAATCTTTCAACAATAGATGCTTTCAAGTTACTGTATGTTGAATAAAAATTAATTTTGTACTTTTTCATTAAAGCTTCAAATTGAGAATTGTAGAATTCTTTACCTTTATCGGAATGAAGGTTCTTTGGAATACGTCCTTTTTCAAATATGAATTTCATTGCGTTAGTCACATCTTTTCCATTTTTACTTTTTACTGGAACAGCCCAAGCATACTTGGATAAAATATCTATGACTGTAAGTAAATAATTGTAACCTTTATTTATTTTTGAATAAGGTAGCATTTCAACTAAATCTGCTTGCCAGGTGTCATCAATATCACGCATTTCTACGCGACGGCGATGGAAATTTTTTCTAGCCTGTGTATGAAGTTCAGTAACTACTGTTAACTTTTTATCAGCCATCATTCTTTAATAAATTTAGCTGCATTAAATATAAATTTTGCTGTGATTCAATTTGTTTTAGTTTTTCGTTAACTCTGTCTTCAATAATTTGCATAAAAAGATTCAAGTCATCAATAGATGATCTTAATGATGACGTAACTTGGAAAATAGTTTTTATTTCGTTTTTTACAATGTTTTGTGCAAGTCTTAAATTTACTGCATCATGCAGTTCTTCAGCGTCTTTAACGTTACAAAGTCTTTTATTATCTATATCAAAGTGTCCACTTGAATTAACTTTAAATCCAACTCCAGTAGGTCCACGTCTTGCTATTACTGTTCCTCCTTGACTGAGAGGATGTCCGAACAGATCAATGCTCATTATTGAAATGAATGACATTTACTAAAGCACACCTTAATATATGATTTTAGCCTCACGTAATTCCTCAATAATTGACATAATTTCATTATTATGACTAGTATTACCAGCTCCTTGAGATGCCATAAGTAATCGAAGACGATCAACCAGTTCATTTGGATCATCCCAATAAATATAATCTGGTTTAAAACTTTTATTCGCAATCATAAATTTAGGTAGTGAACTACCACTTATAGATGACTCTTTTGTAGGAGGAAATAATTTTGATATAATATTCATGTATTTAAAACTTTTATCTCTATGAATAGAGTTAGAGGAACTATAGTTTTTTCTATGTGCATTGGAGGTGGTAAGAATTTGTTTATAACTATTCATATCATGTTCACTAATGTATGATTTTTCAGGTTTGTTTTTAAATAAAAGTTCTAATAACCCAGAGGTAATTTTAAAACGTTTATCTTCAATATCTACAATGTGATTTTTAAAGATTATGGTTTTATTACCAATCATAAGGGAACCATCATTAGCTTTGCGTACTCCATATATCATATCCAAACATTGTTTTCTATTATGTTTTATCAAAAATATATATTTACTAACTAATTTATCAATGTCAGATCCGGGTTTTAGTGTTTCACCATCATCAGTACTCATATAATTTATATCATCATCACTATCATTTTTATCAGATGCAGCTTTATTTTCAATCTCTTCTTTCTTTTCAATATTAACATTTTCATGTTTATAATCTGTCAAGTTAATAATTTTTTGTAAAGGTTGAACTACTGGTTTAAAGGTTTCATTCAAAACATTTTCGACAGCTTCCTTCCCTAATTTCAACATACGATGCTTCCGTCTAATTGCCTCACTAGCTTTAGCAATTTGACGTAGATACTCTTTCTCTTTATGAAACATGTTGATATTTCAAGTTTTAAAACAACACTAATACTATTTTAAAAATTATAGTGTATTTATAGTGCTAGAAAACTGTCGAATCCTTTTCTATATCTTCCATCATTTAAATTAGAATCTTTATCAATTACTACAAAGCCATATTTGTCTGAATTCCAACATGTTGAACATAACTCTCGAAATTGATTAAATGTCATGTCAGTATTAACATGATCATCATACACATGTCTTAAATTTTTCTCATCTTGACGAAAAAGGACTAATAAATTAACATTATCACGTACTAAATGTTTAGGAATTCTAGCATATATTTGACAGAGGTAAAAACAATCAACGTCAACATGTCTACCCATACAAAAGAATGCCCTTACGTTGTCTTGCTTTTCACAAGCAATATCGTCAAATATAAATATTGAATTTTGTTTTGCTTCTTTAGGAGCAATTACTTCTTCATGATCACTAAATGGTAAATATTCAACTCCATCAACGTTACTCACAACTTGTTCTAAGAATTTATATTTTGGTTGTTGTAATGATTTTGAGTATAAGTAAATGTTGTCAAATCTGAGACCATTAGGATCTAGAATTAGAGATAGTAATACATTTGTTTTTCCACAATTTGATGGGCCACAGAAAATTGCACGAATACTACCTGATAATAAACTACCATGACGCTTAACTTTCTTCTCTTGTTGTTCAACAATTGAGTCCAGATTTACGACTGGCAGCTTATTAGGTTGTTCCTTGAATCGCATCCTGATGTAGACTGTTGTAAAAGGTATAAATGCAGCGCTTATATAACCTTTCAGTCATTCTATTTTAAACTTTCATAGAGTAAGGTATGATTATTCATCATCGCTCTCGAGGGAAAGGTTTAGTCAATAGTCTTATAAATAAGTTACCATTTGAATTACATCTGCCTGGTTATCAATATTGTGGACCAGGCACAAAGTTAGTAAAACGTCTACACAAAGGTGATCCGGGTATTAATCTTCTGGACGCCGCTTGTAAGGAGCACGATATCTCATATTCGAAAAATCGAGAAAACGTAGAAGCAAGAAACGTTGCTGATAGAGTTTTAGCTGAGAAGGCTTGGGAACGTGTTACAGCAAACGATTCCAGTTTAGGTGAAAAAGCTGCTGCTTTAGCTATATCTGGAACTATGAAAGTTAAATCAAAATTGGGTATGGGAGTTAGGAGAAAGAGAAAGTCAAAATTAGGCTTGGGTGGAAGGAAGAAAAAAAAGATATCTTCTAAAAAACTAACTGCCCTCAGAAAAATTGTAGATGCAGCTAGAAAATCCATAATTCCTGGTAATGATGCTCAATCAACAATTAAAAGTGCCATTGAAACTGCTCGGAAAGCTGTTAGAAATGCAGGAGGAAGAAAGAAAATTTTAGCACCGCGCATCTTGCCTGTACCTTCAAAAATTGGTGGTTTACTACCATTAATTCCAATTTTTGCTGGATTAAGCGCCCTTGGAGCACTTACTGGAGGTGTAGCAGGTGTATCAAAAGCTGTAAATAGTGCAAGTGCAGCAAAAGATAAATTAAAAGAAGCTCATCGCCATAATAAAGCAATGGAAGATATTGCACTTGGTAAAGGTCTACATTTGAAACCCTATCGACAAGGATTAGGTCTTCATTTAAAACCGTTTTCAAAAGGATCAGGTCTTCATTTAAAACCTTATCAAAGAGGACAAGGAATAAAAAAGTGTTCAAAAAAAAAAAGTTTTTGATACTTCCTAAACGAGCACTAACTGACTTTGAGTTGCTCAAGTATGTTAAAGACTTGAAAATTTCTAACTTTAGAGGGGTTTTTATGCGAAATGAATTGCCGACAACAGGGCCGCGAAAAAATGAATCAGCTATTATTAATTTAGATGATAAAGATGGTTCTGGAACCCATTGGGTTGCATATAAAAAAGTTAATAATAAAGCTGAATACTTTGACAGTTTTGGTAATCTTCAACCACCATTTGAACTTGTTAGTTATTTAGGTTATAATACTCTAATACAATACAATCATAAAAATTATCAAGATTATGATACTTTTCATTGTGGTCATTTATGTCTTAAGTTTTTATGTGGACAACTTGAAATCACACAAAAATATATTTTATATAAATGATGGTATTTATATAACCTAATCAGTTTATAAAAAGTCATCATCATGGATGAATCGTTTACTTTAACTATCTCTGGCAATTCATCTATTCTGGAGGCTGAATATTTTCCACCAATAGAACTATTACCTAATAGAAATTATGTACTTGGCTTAGTTGAATTGTTAAC